GTTGGATTGCTTCAGCAATTGCACATAATAGTGTATGAAAACAACTGGTTGTATAAAGATCAGGAAGCAATAACCGTAGTTGATTGTGTGAAATAAGCTGTCTTTCGGGAATTAGCCTATTATTTTTGGGCTATAGATTTGCAAAGTGGTATCTATTATGTTGCAAGTCAGGTGTGTAAGTTGTATTTATGTGAGATTATCCCATCCAATTATGCCCTAACTTATTACTCCATAATTCTATTTTACCCTTTAACCTTTTTTCTATTTTAACTCCAAATCTCCAACCTAGAACCTACTTTATTTTTTTCCAAAACTTATGACGCCAACATTAAAGGTGTTTTGCTGCCTTCTGTTTGATTTTTTCCTCCTAATTTGCTTTTAACTCAATTCTAATTAATTGTGCTCATTTGTTTTGCCTTCTTCTGTCTCGCTCCTTTGTTCTGCTTTCTTAAAGTGTTTTGCCTTCTTCTGTTTTGTTTTTTAAAATTATTTATGTGCATAATTTTTGATAAGTTTAATATTTAAACAATTGAGGGTATTTTAGTAAACTTATCAGTTACAGTACAATACGATACAGTCAAACCAAACAGTAAAATATTATTTAACAATAACATACGATACAATCTATCTAAACATTGTATTCATAAAACGATATAATACAATACATTATAAAACGATGAGGTCCAAACAGAGAGTTAAATACAATTCTATTTATAACAGGGTTTGTATTAATGAACTATAATAATTTAGCAAACCCACATATGTAAAGAAGTGCTTCGAAATTGCACGAAGATTAAAAAAGCTAAGAGGTAAATAATTATTTCAAGTCTTTACCCCGCGCAAATTTAGGTCATAGAATCGAGAAAGATATTACTCCAATTATTAACGAAGAGGAGTTCAAATAACTGAGAAAGCGACTTTTGATCAGTGAATTTAGACTTTGGTGCATTCACTTCATTTTCGAGAGCTTTTTTTTAATCTTTAAAAAAGAGAATGCATTCACATTGGACCTGGACTAATTTAACATCGTGAATTGTAAGATTCATTAAAAGAGAAAGCGTTCCTTATCAAACTTTTTTTTATACTCGGAGCTCGAATATCGAATCCGAAACCCTAGTTAAATGTGGAGGGATCTTATCCATCTCACCACAATACTTGGATATCATTTTCATGAATGTTAAGCTTAAATACCAGTACCTTGTGATACTGATATCCATTCGAAGTCCCATACGAAACCAAATAACAATATCTTTTGAATATGACACCCCTCCAACCCAACGCCACTATTTTTTTTTTCTTATTTTGTTTTCCCACATATTTTTAGGATTGTCCAAATTCTTATCTTTATTATTGTGCAAAGTATCTTTCAGAGACGTTTGAAATATCTTAACATTCTTGAATATATAGATAACAAATTTTCCTCTTTAACTAAGACATTATCAATAAGAATATCTCTTATTCTCTATCTTTCTAAACATTTATGAAAATTTGAAGTACAAGGATTAAAGTATATAAGGTTTTTATGTAAATTCAGTTCTTCAATTATTTTAAAGTTAATTCATATAGGTTAAAATACATAGAGAATGTATTTATAATGCTAGGTCTTTTTAAAATCAATTTATTTGACACATGTCTATAATAGGAAATATGAGCCGCAAAAATCTTCACTTATTTATGACAATAATTAGATTCTTTTCTTTTTTAACCATTTTGCTTCCCTTTGGCGCCAAAGTACCAAATTGATCTACTGTTTTTTGGTCAATAATGTTTCTGCCTATTCTCTAAAGGAAAGGGAGAAAAAAAAAAATCTTTTGGCGATTCCTCAGTCCTAGTCACTTTCCACTAAATTCAGCTACATTTTTTTTTAGACAACTCAAGAAAGAGACCAATTTATTAATTAGGTCTATGAAGCCAAAAATGTCAACATTAAATAATAAATGCCATAGTTTGGACATATTTTCGTGCATTTATTAAAAGAAGAATCATTTAATAGCATTAAATGAATACAATTTGACTAAATTACTCTTATTTCTTTACTATCAGTAATACTCCTTACTAAGTACTTATTCCGGTTCACAATAAGTAACCAATTTGCTTTTGGCACGCCCATTAAGAAAATATTAAATTCTATACAAAAATACCTAGTATGACTAAACTACCCTTAATTAAATACTTAATGTGAGGAGTAAGAAAATTTTTTAGTGATATGTACATAAGGTAATTTTGTAAAAACAAATTGAATTCTTTCTTGATTATATAAATGAACACTTATTTTGGACCAAAATCTAAAAGCAAATTGGTCACTTATTATGGACCGGAGGGAGTAATGATTATAAAACTTTTTGTAGTAATAATGGTAATATTGAAAGAGAAAAAAAAAAAAAACTAATGTCTTCCTAATTTTTAAAATGACAAATATTTTTAGAACAAGTTCATTTGAGTTTGTTTGGCTAAAGTGATAGAACGACCAGAGAGAGTATAACTTGGAGGATTAAACTTGTATTGTTCAAAATCTGACAGCCTCGATTAGGGCGGCCACGATCGTATTTTTGCCACTGAGTAAGGAATCAAGTTAAACTCACCCCCTTCTCTAAGATATTCGACAGACCCACAGGAGCGAGTTATCCCACGACCAGAAAACCCCATTGCCCCAGGTACACCAAAGGCGTGGCATAAGCAAGATGGTTTTTTCGACTATATATATATATATGCTTGAGCAAGCTCAGCAAAGGGGAGCTTTTCGACCTCCCTCTGAATAATCTTCGAAGGCAAAGAAGAGACAGAAGATTCTACATCAAGAAAAGGGTAGAGGTTCCACTGTATGAAGAGAAAAAAAGAGGAATAAGCCTCATCCCTATATCCCGAATGGGCTGAAGCATTTTGTAATTCTTCTTTCTTCCATATGGAGAAAGAAGGCAATATTCAAATATAAATAAGATCTGCTAATGCCTTATTCATCTAGTATTCAATCACTATCTTTTAGCCTATTGATCTGGTTTTGATTAAGTTTGACTATGATTTACCCCTCCCATCTTTGATTGATTTGCTTAAAAAGAGAACTTTAAATCTTTTTAGTCAAACACTTTGGCGCCGTCTATGGGGATTTCCTAGTGAAAATTCCTAGTCTTCCCAGATCAAAGCTAAGAAACCAAACAGATTCGTCAGATCCAGAACTCCCTGCTCTATCGGCTTTGAATGTCCCAAGACAAGGAGAAAGATGCTGCGATCCAGTCTCTCCCACTCTCAAAACCACCAGGCAGAGACTAGGAACAATTCATCCATACTGAAGAACCAAAAATCACTTGGGCACATCCAAACCCTCCCGGCCGGAGGCACCCTCGAGTGAAACGACCGAAGTGGAACAGAAAACTGCAACACATGTAATGCTGGCCTGTGCGAAATATCGACTCCTCGCATCCGCGGCGTTGAACCACTTGACGCGAGCAATGCTAACCAAACTGGGACTTCCGCGAGAAGTGTTCGACATTAAAGTAAAAGAAAGATTCGACCTTGCTCGAATCACGACGGGTAGTTATTTCGATAAGTTAGAAATAACACCCTTAAGGCCAAGGGCCTTCGCCATCAAAGTACAAGAAAGATTCGAACCTGCTCGAATCACGACGGGTCTTCGAAATAACACCCTTAAGGCCAAGGGCCTTCGCCATCAAAGTAAAAGAAAGATTCGACCTTGCTTGAATCAGGACGGGTCATTATTTCGATAAGTTTGAAATAACACCCTTAAGGCCAAGGGCCTTCGCCATCAAAGTAAAAGAAAGATTCGACCTTGCTCGAATCACGACGGGTCGTTATTTCGATAAGTTCAAAATAATAACCTTAAGGCCAAGGGCCTTCGCCATCAAAGTAAAAGTGATGTTCTTAACGTCAATACCACACAAGAGGGGGGTGATTTGTGTGCAGAGGCGGATCTAGAATTTGAAGGTTTCGGGTGCCATATTATTTTAACATAGATATACAATTATTATACGGTCCAAATGGGATAAATATATAGTCGGTTTGATCAACTTTGTGCTTCGGTTCTAACTATTCATCTTTTCGATTTATATAGATAAATATATCGAACAAAAATAAATTATGACAACTTAGCGCACATCATAAAATTTTCAGCAGTAATACCAATATCATAAAATTTCTTCCACATGAAAAGTACAAAAAGACAACTTCTTTCATGTCCTGGCAATTGGAAATATCTTCCAATTAACAAAATACTACCATAATTAGTTGGTCGCTATAACTAATAAGTAAGACATACATAATTCTTTCATCCTTAAACAAAAACATACATGTACATCATCCATTTATAATTGCCCTCGACGAGTTTTCATATTTTGAAAACGGTCAATGATAGCATCATTACTTACCTTTTCAAATGCTTCACGTTCTATGTAACAAACTAAACAATCATTTAAATATTGATCACCAATGCTATTTCGCACTTCATTTTTTATCCGCTTCATGGATGAAAATACTCTCTCCACATTTGCAGTAGCAACAGGTAGAATCAAAGTAAAATTCACGAGTAAATAAACAAGTGCATAAGTCTCCACAAGATTTGCTTCAACCAATGCTTTTGCTAAATCTTTAATTCCTTGCAAGTTGGAGAACTTGGGATCATCACCTCGCATATGAATTATGAAGGTATCGAGTTGATAACTCAAATCCCGAAGCTGCAATTTATCAAACTCATCTGGATAACACTTCGCCAGTGTCATTATTCTATCCTTATCAAAATTAGCAAAGGAATTAACTGGACTCAAGCTAGCCATCCCAAGAAGTAAATCAGTACTCACTACATCAAAACGTTCATTAAGCTCTTGAAGTTGCACATCAATCACAGCATGAAAGATTTCAACACGCAAGTGATGTGAGTAACAAACATTAGACTTACGCTTAGACTTACCGGGAAAGTAAGACTCATCCATCTTCGGAATCAAAATATCATGCCTACCACAAAATGAGAAAACATCATCCAATAGAGATTTCTATCCAGTTTCCCTCATATCTTGCAACCTTTTCTTCGTAATGTCAAGAAACACCACGGCATTAACAATATCTTGATCCTTTTTTTGTAAAATCTTGCTCAATTCATTTGACATGGCTAACACTTTCACCATCAAGTGAAGCATAAAAATTAATTTGAATGTTCTAATCTTACCCAAAAGATACTTTGCTTGATTTCTTTCATGTGAGGTAGAACCTTCATACTCAATCCATTTAAGCACATGAACAATAGAAGAGAAAATAGCAATAAAGTTATCCATTGTTTTGAAATGGGATCCCCAATGAGTATCACCTGGTCTTTGAAGTCCACGTTCTTGATTTAATCCTTGTCCGGTAATAACTTCACCGGACTCAAGTAATTGCTCCAACTCTTCAGCTTGATGATGACGGAGCAAGTCTCTGCGCTTGAAAGATCCTCCAACAACATTCAACATATTAGTAACATGATCAAAAAAGTCTTCAACATCCAAATGCTTTTTAGCAATAGCTACAAGTGTTAATTGCAATTGATGAGCGAAGCAATGAATGTAATATGCCGATGAGCTATCTTTCATAATTAAAGTCTTGAGACCACTTATCTCTCCCTTCATATTACTAGCTCCATCATAACCTTGTCCACGTATTTTGGATGTACTTAGTGAGTGATCCGAAAGCAAAGAATATATTGCTTCCTTTAATGAGCATGCCGATGTATCACTAACATGGACAAGGCCAACAAATCGTTCTGCCACTTCACCATTCTTATTAACATACCGCAAAACAAGAGCCATTTGTTCTTTGTGCGAGATATCTTTGGATTCATCGGCTAATATACCAAAGTAATCTTCATTCAAGTCTTCAATTATAGATTTTATTGTTTCCTTTGCAAAAGCATTGACAATATCCTTTTGAATCATAGGACAAGTTAAAGTATCATTTTGTGGAGCATTTTCTAATATTACTTTTCCCACATCCGGATGCTTGTCCCCATGCCACCGCAAAAAGCTTAGAAATAAGCCTTGATTTGTTGAGGATTCACTTTCTTCATGACCTCGGAAAGGCAATCCATGATGCAAGAGAAGTCTTGCAACATCAATTGAGGCTTCCAAGCGCATTCGGTACTCACTTTTTACCTTCTCGGAATGCTTGTCTAAAACAACTTGAATTGATTGATGATTATTTGACAAATCTAGCATCTTGTTGCAACATTTATTATGGACACTAGGAATCTCACCGACATGTAAAAGAAACCTTTCAAGAGCCTTATTCCAAGCCCTAAAACCACTTTTTGTAAAACATTCACCCGCACTTTCATGAACAAATTTATTTTTGAACAAATAACAACATAGACAATATGCGGCATCTTTTTTCACACTATACTCCAACCATCTTGAAAATGAACTTTTAAACCAACTTGGTTTAAATTGGCGCATTCTCCCTCCTATTGTAGTTTTAGGAAATTGATGATTAGTAGGTTGACAAGGCCCATTTTGAATGTAATATCTCCTCACCTCATCTCGTAATCGAGGGCTATAATTAGCAATGGGTATTCTTTCTCCTGGGTCGGTGCTAAATGATTCTGAGTCGAGCTCATCGATAAGATGAGAAAAATTGACATTCGTACGAATTTCTGGAGCTATCACCTGATTAAACGATGGCACACTAGAACTAGAAGTTGGTTGAGAATAATTCATCTTTATGACAAATTTATCCATCTCAATCTTTCCTACAAAACAAATGTTCAATCCAACTCATAATTAATTCAAGGATGTCATATGCATTTTTCGTATAAATTTGAATTAAGACTGAAAATCTAAACTTCCAATGAACGCCATCAAGGAATAAACAGCAAGAGCAAAACAAATAATGAAAATAAAAATCTGACAACAAGATGCTTTAAAAGCTTATCTGACAACAAAATGCAAAAGCTAATACAAACAGAGATTCAAGAGAACAATATGCACAATAACACAGTAAACTATAAATTAAAGATTAGAACAGAGAAAAAAAATCAATTCTGAATTGAATAAAGAAAAACAAGGGAGAAAATGAAAGGATCAAAGGGGTTTAGCAACTTGTAAGTCTATATTCTTAAATATTAACTATACCACCAAAAGAATTATTTTCAGCGAATTAAAAAAGAAGCAAGAGAATAAGAGAGATTTACAGTCAAATTACAAAGCAGTGGTGCAGCAACAAGAGGAGGTGAAATGGAAAAGTGGACACCACACGATGGTGGCTCACTGCCGGTGAGTGACGGACTGAAACAGCAAAAATCCAAGAATCTCCAAATTTGGGGCAGCAGCAGCGCAGTAGAAGAGAAGGGTTTTGGGTGGGAAAAGTTTTTGGGGAAGTAAAATAGCTTTTGTATTTTAGTGAATAAAGAAAGTACAATAGAAAAGTCAAACAATATTAAATAAGTTAAAATGTCAAAAAAGTAAAACAAAGAATAAATAAAAAGGAAACCAGTTTTTCGTACACCTACATTGATTGTCCAATAGTACTAATAAATGGACCAAAAATATTAAGTGTTGCCCTGGTTTCGAACTTCCGCTGGAAGAGAGATATTTTCGGGCCTTTGCCACTGGCACCCAGTGGCTGTTTTGTTCATTAGGGTGCCATTTTATTATATGTACATATTTCTTCTACACATATAGATATATACACAGAGTTCCGGCCGAGGTCTACGGGTGGCGGTGCACCCCCTCAGCTCTATGTAGATCCGCCCCTGTTTGTGTGGTACCCAATTTTCGCTCTAGAAGAACGTGGTTCTTCTAGATGTACTTACTAATACTGTTTGCGGAATTAAGAGTACATAAAATAAAGAACACAGAGATTTTTACGTGAAAAACACCTGGCTCAAAGGGTGAAAAAACCACGACCTACTACTCAGTAGGATTTTCCCAAACTTCCACTAAACTCACTGAGCCAAAACAGCATTTACAAAACTCTTGTAAACCTAAGGATTAAACTTTAATTCCAGTGTAGCACACAGCCTCAACTGTTGCGACACCTTCAAGTTAACTCTAACTTGAATACTCAAAGTACCTAATACAATTGCTTCTATGAAAGCTAGAAAGGTACAACTTTAAAACACCTACTACAATTGAACTAAAATAAAAGAAAGACACAATGGAATTGGTTCTTCTATCTTGTCCAAGTAGCTTCATGAATCACTTGAATCTCACATAAATTGCTTGCAAAATTGCCTCACTCTTTTGCTCTCAATTTAGTTTAACTTCTGAGTTTATGCAATACCTGTAAAAGAGAACAATCACTGTTATTTAATGAGTTAGTAATCAGAGTTTGATTGAGACTCAATTGCTGATCTTCCATCGGAGTTGAGTCCTTGAACAATACAAACTCCAACCCTATCCTTTATCCGGATTGTGTCCTCTTCCCATGAGAAGACTTTCACTCCTCATCCAATATGCAACCTTTTCGATTAGTTCAGGAGATATTGCTGCTTGATCACTAAGACTTATCTCCTTCACGTGTATCTCACATGTCTAGGTTGATAGATACTGTGCCTCACATGATGGACCTGGTCCATGACTGAGTTCATTTGTCATTCTTCAAAACTTCACCTGAACTTGGGCCAACAAATTCCCCCTTTTTGATGATGACAAACTCTGTGCTTTTATGGATCAAAAAATCTGCAAGAACTCAGCTTAACCATCAACACTTAACTTAGAATTTTAACTTATCATCAAGGACCAGGTTTAATTAGGTTATAAATATCACATTATTCAGAATAAATATTAAAGCACAATATCTCTTCCCCCTTTTGGCACCATCGAAAAGTTGCATACATTGAGAATCTCAGAATTTTGTAATTACTCATGGCCACTTGGGCGACTGCAAGTGAAAACATAAATCATCAATAATCAACAAACACATTTAACTATTAAGAAAAAAATCTTCATAGAACAAGAGAAACAGCAGTTGTCATTGATAAGATGTGTTTCCACCTACAAACCACAAAAAGAAAGAAAAAACTTTCAAACATGAGCAAAAACAGAAAAAGTCCCTAATCTGGGTCACTGGGGGGTAGTAGACTGCTTCAGAAGGCAACAACTGGAGGACCTAAGGCTTAGATGAACTAGAGGGCTGGGTTTGGAGAAGGTTGAGCATATTCTGAAGCATCCCATCACTTTTCTCCTTTTCTTTTGCTAGCTCAGCTCTAAGGCCATCTCTTTCAGCTTCCAATTCAGCAACACGAGCCTGAAGCCTAGCAATTTCAGCATCCTTAGTTCCATACTCTTGAACCAAAGCCCTAACCTTGCTGTTCACAGGTGTCTTCAGAGATGAACCAGGTTCAACTGGGATGGCATTGACAGGATAGTCACAAGCCAATAAGGTCTTAACACCAAAATGCTCCTTGCTTGATGCCATCTCCTATTTCTTCAAAGGCACCCTTAGCCTGTCCATCATAGTAGTCAGTATGAACCCATATGGAGTTGCATGTGCCTTGGAGCCATTAGTGACCCTGTCTAGTAATTTGACAATAAAAGCAGACCAATTTATCTGCATTCTTCTCACAAGACACTCTATAAGAACCAGGTCCATGTAGTTGGCAGTATGTCTCCTCTCCTGTCTGGGCAGCAGGCACTTGTTAACAAATTCAAACAAGACCTTGTTCTCAGGTCTCATCTCACTTTTCTGCACAAACCTGGCTTCAGGTACATCTTCAGCAGTTGCAGCATCACAAAATTTCTAGTAATTTGAAGAGCAATGGGGAGAGATTCAAGACATGGCCACCTTTGCCTTGTATAATCATCATACCCTTCACTAGGTATGCCCAGAATCTCACCCAGTTTGACTGCATCAAACTCCACTTTTACTCCTCTCACCAGGCTAGAGACTACCCCATTTTTTACAGTGGCATTTGCCATAAACTCAATTAGTTCATTCCTGGACAGCCTGCCATCCAATTCAAAGACCATGTCCTTCCACCCTTGTGCAGTAAGAGCATCTACCAACCTCCTCATTCCTGGTTCATCCAGGTCTTTTAGCAGCCTTCCTTTCAAAAAAATTCTTTTGCCAAATATGGCAAACCTATCTTGTTCTTTCTCAGATTCTTCTTCTTCTCCACCACTCCACTCTTCATCTTCTTCAACAATTTTCTTTTGTTTACTCTTCACAGCAGATCTAGTTCTTTTGGCTAAAGAAGATTCAGCAGGTATAGGTATAGAGGAAGACTTCTTAGAAGAAGTCTTGGAACTTTTTGGTTTGGGTGTTGGAACCTCTTCAGTTGTTCCTCTTTCTTGATGGACCAGTTCCATCTCCTCTTCTTCTTCTTCTGAAATCTCAGAACTCTCCACAACCTTTGCTTTTCCCTTCTCCCTCTTTTTCTTCCTGCTCTCTTCCAGAGCTTTCTGCAATTCTGCTTCACTTTGTTTGACCCTGCTCCTGGTTGCTCTTTCCTTAGGTACTGAAGGTACAGTAGGTTTTGGGGATGACATTTTGCTTTTCTTTGTTGGCTTGGAAGCTGTTGGAGCCTTTTGTGTGGAAGTTTTACGCTTCATTGGATCATAACTGGCCCCAACCTTCTTCAAAAGATCAGCCAGGGTCTCCTCAGCAGATGAACCAGGTTCATCTTGTTGCTTGCTTAAATTAACAAGCCCTTCAGCCGCCTCCCCAGAACCACTTCCCCCTGACTTGTTGCCACCTTCTTCAACACCTCCACAGATAGCCAATACTTTTTCTTTCTTATTTTCCCTCACATCACCACTGACTCCCTTTCTCTCTTTTTTTTTTCTTTTTACCTCCTCTTCTACTAGAATCAGCCCCCTGTATATCTTTAACAGGACCAACCAAGACAAACCTATTTTCTACACTTTCAACAACATCAGAGAATACCAAGCAAGAATTTACCTCACTAGGAGTTTCTTGAATATTTTCAGTGTCAGATGACCCATGTTCTTCACCTTCGTTGGCAGAAATAAAATCATCAGACTCAGAGCTTGAGTCAGATTCTTGAGCATGACTTTCCTTCCTCTGGCTAGCCTTCAATTTCTCACTTAGAGCTTTCCTTAAAGCTCCAGAGGCTACAGTTTTTCCAGCTAGCATTTTCTGCCTGTGAAACCTAGGTTTTAGGTTTTCAACAGGAGGAGTAGATGAGGATGTGTTAGAGGGAGATACTGGTGGGGGAGTGCCAGGATTATCTTGGGGGTTAGACATGGTTCTTCTACTATGGAGGAGTTTTGGGAATTTCTGAGAAGAAAGAAGATTTGGGATTTCTGGACAAGAAGAGGGCGATCAGAACTGGAGAAGAGTTTTGACGGTTATGGACTAATGAAGGAGGGGTGTGGTGTATTTAAAGGTGATTAGACTTAAATGCAGTAACGACAGCTTTTCAGAGGTCAAGTAGAA